GATGGATGAATGGATGGTAGATGGTTGGATGGATGGATGATGGATGGTTGGATGGATGGATGATGGATGGATGGATGGATGATGGATGGATGGATGGATGGATGGATGGATGGATGGATGATGGATGGATGGTTGGATGGATGGATGGATGATGGATGGATGGATGGATGGATAGATGGATGATGGATGGATGGTTGGATGGATGGATGGATGATGGATGGATGATGGATGGAGGGATACATGGATGAATTGTTGGTTGGATAGATGGATGTCTGACAGATGGATGGATGGATGAATCATGGTTGAATGGATGAATGGATGGGTGGATGAGTGGTACAGTAGATGCAGGAAGTGGGGACAGAGTGAGGCACAGACAGAGGCAGGGCCAGAGTAGACAAGCTGTGGGAGAGACCACAGGATCTGGCAGAATGGTGCCCAGGGAGGTACCCACGCGGTGCCCATTGAAGACATAGGCCAGTTCATCAGCTCCCAGCTCTACATCAGGCCTCAGCTCGGGCCTCGCCCAGCCCACTCGCATCTCGCCTGTGGTGACTGCTTCAAACTCGAAGTACCAGCGGCCGCTCTGCACTGCATAGGATTTCTCTGCCCGGAAGATGCGCACCCGGTCCCAACGAGACTGGTTCTCCACCAGACCTATAAATGAGGCCAGGCAGAGTCAGAAGGGCTGGGGAGAAAGTGGATCCTAAGACATTGAGAAGTTGGTAGAAGAGACCAGGGACAGTAAGGGCTTTGGGGAACTGTTGGAAGAGGGTCAATTTCTTAGAGTTAGAGAACTGGGGAACCTCAGAATAGTCAGAGAGAGGGAGGGACCTATTGAGAGAGACCCCCATCTCTGTAGCAGTCAGAGTTCTCAGAGAACAGGGATACTGGCAGAGACATAAAAGGAAAAAGTCAAGTCAGTGAACTGGTCAGAGTTATGGTCTGGGGTTAAAGGTCAAGATTAGGGTTTATTAGAATCAAGGGTTGAGACCAGGATTGGAGGGTCAGGGCCAGGGTAATGGAAGGGATGGAAACTCTTGGTTGGGGCCAAGAGTTGAGAAACTGAAGGTTGGGGACCATGGCCAGGGTTTGGGGTCAAGGCTGGGATTGGAAGCCAGTGATAGGTCAGGAGTCAGGTTAGGGGTAGGGATGACAGGCTCTCTAAGCCCTTGGTTGGGTGCCTCCATGTGGTAGCTACAGTTCAGAGATTAGTGATTAGGGGTCAAAGCTAGAGGTCAGGAGTCAGAGTCAAGGGTGGGGTTGGCACTCATTGGGTTCCTAGGCTGACAGCTCTGGGTTGCAGTCAGCCCAGGCAGGGCTGGAGTCAGGTCAAGGGAAGTGGTTCCACCAGGTTCCGAGTTGGAACTGGGGTAAGGGTAAGAGTTTCAGGTAGAGGTCAGTCTGCTCGATGTGATAGATATAGCCCATTTGGGCCAGGCAAGGTGGCTCATGCCTGTAGTCCCAGCACTTTGGGAGGCCGAGGCAGGTGGATCACGAGGTCAGGAGATCGAGATCATCCTGGCTAACACGGTGAAACCCCGTCTCTACTAAAAATACAAAAAATTAGCCGGGCATGGTGGCGGGCGCCTGTTGTCCCAGCTACTCGGGAGGCTGAGCCAGGAGAATGGCCTGAACCCAGGAGGGGGAGCCTGCAATGAGCTGAGATCCAGCCACTGCACTCCAGCCTAGGCGACAGAGCGAGACTCCGTCTCAAAAAAAAAAAAAAAAAAGAGATATAGCTCATTTGGGGGTTGAGTAAAGTCAGAGATCAGGGGTCGGGGCTGGGGTCAGAGTTGGGGTAGGAGTCGCGGCCAGGGCCGGGGGTGAGCACTCACTGGGCTCCTGGTCAGGAGGCTCGATGTTGTAGCCGTAACCTAGGAGGGTGCGCACGGCCTGGCAGAGGCTGTCCCGGTTGCTGCGCTTGGTGGCCTCGTCCAGGAGGCGGTAGGGCACGAGCCGTGGGTTTCGGCGCGCGGGGATGTCCTGCACCGCACTGTAGCTCCAGCCCTGGCCCACACGGTCTCGGGCCCACACGTTGTGCCCATTTTCTGCCAGACGGTCCACCAGTGTCGTCTGCGCCGGCGTCAGCCGCACGTGGCTCAGGTCCAGCGGAGCCGGCTTGTACCCATTGCTCATCATATACCTGCAGGCATGGCAGGGACTTGGTGGGACAAGGTCCTCACCTCCACTTCTGGGCTCTGCACTGTACGGGATCCCTGACTGCTGACCCTTGTCCCAGCTTTGGCGTTTCCGGCCTTTGACCTAATGTTGCAGTTCTACGAAATTTTAGAATAAACTTTGAGATCCCTGGCTTCTGAGGCTAGAATCATGGGACCCTAGCAAGGGCTTTGACATCAATGGCCTCTGGCCCCCTTTGTCTTGACTTTGGGACCCCTATCTCTAACCCTGGAACTCTCTCGGACCTCTCACCCCTAACTTTGAGGTTTTCCCTTTTTTTTTTTTTTTTTTGAGACGGAGTTTCACTCTTGTCACCCAGGCTGGAGTGCAATGGCACCATCTCGGCTCACTGCACTCTCTGCCTCCTGAGTTCAAGCGATTCTCCTGCCTCAGCCTCCTGAGTAGCGGGGATTACAGGCATGCGCCACCACACCTGGCTCATTTTGTATTTTTCGTAAAGAGTGGGTTTCACCATGTTGGTCAGGCTGGTCTTGAACTCCCGATCTCAGGTGATCTGCCCACCTCAGGCTCCCAAAGGGCTGGCATTACAGGCGTGAGCGACTGTGCCCAGCTATTTGTGTTTTTTGAGGTTCTTGTCTCGTGCTGTCACCCAGGCTGGAGTGTAGTGGTGCAATCATGGCTCACTGCAGCCTCAAACTCCTGGGCTCAAGCAATTCTTCCAGCTCAAGCTCCCAAGTTGCTGGAACTACAGGCATGTCCCACCACCAAGCCCTGCTAATTTTTACATTTTTCGCAGAGGGGTCTCGCCAGGTTGTCCAGGCTGGTCTTGAACTGGGCTCAAGTGATCTTCTTGCCTCAACCTCCCAAAGTGCTGGGATTACAGGTGTGAGCCACCTCATCCAGCCCACTTTGAGTTTTCTTACTCTGATCCCAGGACTCATCACCCCCAAACCCCTGGGTTTGGAGTCCTTGACCTCTGAACTCAGGACCTGTAACTGCTCATCTATAATTTCAGGATCCCTTACTTACACAACTCCAACAACCTCCAGATTCTCACCTCTTACCATTGGCCCCTTACCCCTTACGTGGACATGTGACCTCTGCTCTCATTTTCCCTGATTCTGGGTGGATCCTGACCCTGGATCCTGGATTCACACTCTCTGTCTCTCTCTGGAGTTCCTAACTTCTCAATCCTGGACATTCCCCTCTGACCACAGAGACCCGACCCTGTGACCTTTGCCCTAACCCAAGGCTCCTTTCTCTCTAACCTCAACTTCCCCACAAGATCCCTCAACCTCCCTAGCCCTTAGTACGGCATCCCCAGTCCCCAGTCCATCCCCAGACAGGACCTGGCCGCCCACACTCACGTCTTGGGGAGTTTTGTCTTCTTCAGGTTGTCCTCCGCCTTCTCATCCGCCATACCCACGTGGCAGCCCAGAGCCAGCAGAGTCCTGGGGGTGGGGGAGCCGGGGCAACAGGTCACAGCCCTCGGAGCTCTCTGCTCCCATCTCCTCCCAAGGCCTCAGGGTCTCCAGCTCCCTCTGCCTCTGCTGCTTCAGTGTCTGGGATGCTCTGGCCCTGTCTCTCTTGATCCTGGCCTCAGGCTTCGTGACTTCCGTCTTTCCCTGCATCTTTATCTGTATAACTGACCATGTCTGTCTTTTCCTGTCTGCTGCTTTCTCATGTTTCTTTCTGCATCCCTCTTTCCATCCCTGCCTTTTCTTTCTCTCTCATTCTGCCTCTGTCTCTTTCTTGCTCTCCGTTTGCATCTTTTTTTGTTTTTTTTTGTTTGTTTTTTTTTTGAAACCGAGTCTCTCTGTCGCCCAGGCTAGAGTGCAGTGGTGCGATCTCAGTTCACTGCAATCTCTGCCTCCTGGGTTCAAGCGATTCTCCTGCCTCAGCCTCCCGAGTACCTGGGATTACAGG